ATATGAAGACCAGCATGACTACTGGTACTTACAAAACTGCATATAAGCTGAACTGTGACATTTGTTCATATTTAGGACCTGATATAATTGGTAATTCATAGAAAAATGATCTGCATGTCCCAAGCTGTTAATCTACCCATCTTCTGCTGCATATTTGGGTCCAGCTTGTGCTGCAGCATGTAAGTAAAGTTGCATAGATGCTCCTCAATGTGAAGAAAAGCCCCCAGATTTGTCTTTTGCATAACTGTTTACAACTGATTTGAGGCCAGAGTCTCCAGACTATCTCTCCACCCAGTTATATATTTCATATATATGGTCCTCATTTTATGTGGATATTTCTTTAAGACACTTACCTGGTCACACCCAACAGGTATAAAGCACCTGTGCTCATAGTTTGATCTCCACTCAGTCATGATGCAGTGTGGAAATATGAACTACTTTATAAATATTGTGTATGTATGTGTGTGGGTTACAACATCTATCTGCTTACCTGTTGTGGTTTAGGCGTCTGTCTGCGGGCTTAGTTAGATTTATTCATTTGTCTCTCTGGCTCCTGTGGCTCTAATCCCCATATCAGTGTACTGCGGTGGTGCAGCTGACGCGCTCGGCGGGATCCCTGCTGAGCGCCAATTTCCCGACGCGGGAATGCCGCTAAAGCGTGCTGCTGCGGTGCGAAGCTAACGAGCTGGTAGTCCGTGTTGAGCGCAAGCTAACAGCGGATGTCTCATCGTGCTCTATCTCCCTTTAACATGTCCAGACGGTCTCGGCTCTCTGAGTCCCAAATCGCCTTTCTGGCTTTCAGCTACTAACTCTACAAAGTTAACTTAGCATGAAGCGAACTAAACTCCCACATTGCTGCAAACAAGGAAGTGAGTACTTCCGGGTTGCTGCCAGTCCCCGCCCCCTGAAAAGGTGTGCCCGAAATCATTTCATAGTGCTGTCCTAATGTTACAACTGTTACACCCTATATAGTGCACTCAAAATATCCCACAATGCACCGTGAAAAGTAGTGTACAACCAATGGTCAGTAACCAGGCAATATGTACCATCATGCATTACATGAACAAGACAAAAAAGAGCATGAAAGTTGTCTTTAAAATGTAAGTCATTTCCCGGTTAGCTTGTCATGTTGAATTAGGTTTTACCCATTTCTTAGCCTTGTAGTAAACTTTGGATTTGATGTGTTTGCCTGCACCTGAATGCTCCTGGAGCAGGTTGCTTGCAGTAACCAGCTAACCCTCTCAGCAGTAATCTATGACAAGTGCAGATGAGGAAAATTGCCAGTGGGGGTCTACCCCTTCCCTCAGCTGGTCTGCATGGGCTCAGAGGCTATCCTATTGTAACATATGCGAGGATTGGGGCAGGGGTTTGACATTATAAAGTTTAGTCTGTGGCAACACCAAGCGACAACATTTCTGAGCTTGGTTCTGGATTCCAGGAGGGAAACTAACTTCCTGACTCCAGAAAGGGGGTGGACCTTCTAATCCTGCCTTAGTGTCTTCCTGCTTCATTCTTAGGCCAACTAGGGTCTTTGTCTTTGCTCAAGGGCCTAATGGCATCCATGATGCAAAGCCACTTTCTCCCCTTCCTGTGCATGCGGCCTGTCCAATGATGTCTGCTGAACTTAATGCTTTGTCTACAGGGGTCTCTCTGGTGGTGGTTCTTGGGGATTTCCTACTCCTCTGCTGGTGGAGCGATTCAGCCAACACAAATCAAAGGTGAGTGCTATAGGACCTGTGGTCCACTGCTGGCTGGTTTTACAAATGCCTCCACAGAATGCCAAAGCATGATCTATGCAGTCTGTTGGGTCAACAGGCTCTGGATTTGCTGTCAAGTGACCCAGTGTATAACATCCTGTAGTATAGCGCTCCTTGCTCTCTGGCAGTTCCTGCCAAAGTTGTAAGGTCACCTCATCATTGCCAGGAAAGACAGCAAAGTGACTGCAGCACCTATCAATAGGCAGGCTGGCGTCACCCCTTCTTTTCATTCATGGGATGATGATCCATCTCTGGGGTGGGATGCCCTGCACATATGTGGGCTGGTGGTCTGCTCTGAGTCTTCTGTCATTTCATGCTTCTCCAGTCCCTTCTTCAGTCCCTTCTTCTAAGGATTCATGCAGAATGAGTGACACTGATTTTGGCGGCTCCTCTTTGGCCCCACCTCTCATAAATGGGACACCTTGGAAGCTTCCACTTTGAAAAAGACCTGCTGTCTCAGGCTAATGTGACCCTGTTTCACCCCTTCGGCCTGGCCTCTGTCCCCCTTTTTTGTCTCCCTTGGTCAGCGTAGCAGCTTGCTAGTTCACCTGAGTGGCCATTCTGTTCACAGTTTTGGCTGTTTCATCTTGGCTTTCAGCTGTGTTCCTGTGGTCAGTCTTGCATCTTGTGAACTGGCCCAAGCAGCCCTTCTGCCTGCCTGGCCTGGTCTTTGTATTGTGCAGGGCCTCTGCCTGGTTTATATGTAAATAAATGTGCATTTGCAAGTAGTGTGTATGTCATATGCATGTAGTTTGGTTTGCACCATCTCTTTGTGGGGTGTCTTCAAGAGAAAGAAAATAGAAAGAGAAGAAAATAAAATTCCTTAAAGGATATTTGGGCCCCCTTGAAAATCTTGTTTTTCTGACCTCCAGTGTTTTGACTTCTCCCTTTTGTTGCAGTGATATACAGGTGTACTCATGTCTCATGTGACATCACTGCTGAGTGTAGGTGTGTGTACAGGCCAAACAGAGGTAACTAGGCAGAGATCACAAACTAAAGGAAAAAGCTAAATCCTTGACCCCTACTTCCCCCATGGGGATCTAATGGCTCTATTAGTATTTTGCTGGCATGGCACGAGTCCACTTGTTCTCTTAGAGGGAGAAGTCACTGCAGATTAACAGAAACTTGTTCTGAGGGATCACCTTTATCCTGTGATAAAGCGTTTCTATCCTGATGGAGGACGGCTTTTACTGAATGATGATCACGTCATCAGTGATTTATGTGTTTAAAAGCTTGTTCCACCCAGTTATTACTTTCTGTTGTGTAAATTAATACCATTGCTAAGAGTTGTCGACTGCACAGTTGGTCCAGTTAGTATCATTAGCACATTATTAGGTCAAACTAGGATGGAATCTTATGCTATGGCCTATGCAGCCAATAAATCTCAAAGAGATATTTGAAAGGAGAGAAGCAAGATACAAGGTCAACTCTTCAGGCAGTTTCATATATAATATGATATTGGGTCACAGGATCACAATTCCAGTCCAATTCCATCCTAAGACCTTTGTTTTCCACTTCCTACTTCCACCTATTGAACTGGATTATCAATAAAGTCAGTGACTTATAGACTTAAAGGTGTACCCAACCCAACAGGTACTGTCTGTTGTGCAATTTAACTTTGTTGCTAAGAGTTGCAGGCGGCACAGTTTGTCGTATTGGTATCATTAGGATATTATTGGGTTAAATAGGGATGGGGTATACAATAAAGACAAAAATAAAAATATATTCACGGTAATGGACAACTTGTACATACCAAGATATGGATATGGCATAGTGGAGAAATTGTATGATACACACTGTGTGCAGACATGTACTTCACAGTTATAAAGCCTAACAGTGCTGTGTTGTGTTATTGCACTTGAGAACTTATAAAGAGAAAAAAACGAGTAACATGATGTTTTTGTACCTAAAGAACTACAAAAAAGAAGAGAGAAAGCATTGTTACATGATGTTGCACTTAAAAGGTTGTGAAGAGAAACAGTTTTAGATGATGATACATCCATCCATCCTATATCTATACACAGCTTAATCCTCTGTAGGGTCGCGGCGACAGGATACACCCTGGACAAGTCGCCAGTCTAATGATGACACATGCAGATATAAATACAATAATAAAGCAGGCAGCTGCGCCCAAGAGTCCTATAAATGCTGAAACTGCAGCCTCCTCTGCTGCAGACACATGCATCGTCATAATCAAACCACCAAATGAGGGAATATCTTTTGTACGAATGGTGTTCACATTCCTCCAGTAGGGTTCCAAAGATGCCACTATACACTGAAGCTATTCTGGTCCAACGCCTTACTAGGACACTTGTTGTCATGTTGACTTTTCCTTTAATTTGTCACCCATCTGTAACTAATGAGTCAGGGTAAGGCAAGGGAGGGAAGCATTTCATAGGAAAACAGACTTTAAAATCCACTCCTAAGTATGAGGAATTACGGAGCCGCAGAAGAGACACGGAGAAAGAATAAAAAACAAGGAGAGGAAAAAAAATAGAGGTATCTTTTGCGAGATCTTGCAAAACTTTCTCGGGATGTCGCAATGACTTCTGCAAGATCTCGCAAAACTATAGGTATAAACTTCTGGGTCTTTTTGGCAGTATGAGCAATGGAGGACTGGTTGGTGCCCTCCATTGTCGAGTCACCATACTGCCAAAAAGACCTTTTGCAAGATCTCGCAAAAGTTATTGCGAGACCCAGAGAAAGTTTTGCGAGATTCAGAGAAAGTTTTACAAGATCTCGCAAAAGATACCTCTATTTTTTTCCCCCTCCCTTTTTTTTCTTTCTCCATGTCCCTTCTTGGTCTTCATAAGGAATAAAGCCAGCAATGAAACAAAGCAAACTTTCTGACCACACCCCACCACACCCATCAGCGGCGTGTGGTCAGAGGTGCAGACTTGAAGCTTCTCATAGAGAAATGAGCTTTTTGGCAATTATTCATTGCAAGTTATTGCAAAAACTCTCAACAACAGACAGAGATGGGTGTGGCCTCACTGTTATGACCAAACGCATCATGTCTTTGCATGAGATGTGTTTGGAGAAGTTGAACACCTTCAGTTTTGCCCCTCAGCCAACAATGTGGCCGGGCCGTGACGTCACCTCGGGGGCGGGGCTTCGTGCGTTTTTATGGTTTATTTGCACAATAGCTCACTTCCTCAGCAGCTGCCATTGCTGAGCTGAATGAGGGAACAGGAGGAGAGACGGTAGAGAGGAGACCGACAAGACAGGGAGGGAGGGACAGAGAAAGAAGCGAGGAGAGGCTCCAGGAGGAAAAGAGAAGAAAGGAGGATATTTCACTGTGAAAAAAGAAAAGGGGGGGGACGAAGCGAGCTCGGAGGCTCATTAGCAGCGGCTCCATGGCTCAGTCGGCTGCTAACGGTGTGGACCAGGATCTGGCTAGCAAGAGGCTGCACTCAAGGTAGGAACACCGAGGTGTGCTGTGTGTTTTCTGGGGGGGTTGTAACCCTGTCCTTGAACAAACAAGGGAGCGGCTGGAGGGGACAGAGGGGATAATAATAATAGGGGTTCGCCAGCTCGGGGCTTTGCTCACTGAGGAGGAGCTATAGGCAAATAGAGAGAGAGAGAGAGGGGGGAAGCTGGACCCAGCAGCCAGCTTTCACTGATTTAAGGCTCAAGACCCAGCCACAGTTGCAGCCAGTCGGAACCCGGTTCCAAGCCTCATTCCTGGCTCGGGTCACTGGGCTGCTGTGGCTGGAATGTACAGACTGAGAGGAGCCTCGTAAGACGTTGGACAGAGATGGAGGCGCTGACAGGACGCATGGGTCGGGGGTTTAAACGGGCCATGTGGGTGCAGGAATCACAGCATATGTGCAGGAGGATGTTTGGATCGCATGGATGAGCACAAATGCACATGGGGCGTCTGCTGAAATGCCACATATTTACATACCAGGAGTGATGATCACGTTCCCTCTCATTTGTCTTCTCTTGCCTCATTACTGTGTGTATTATAGCTCTATTTGCATGCCATTGAACTGCTTGAAGTGGCTTAATGTTGTCCAATATGCGGGATCTCACACTGATTCATTCATAGACAACAGCTTAAAAATAGCAATATATTTTCTACAACTTTTGTTTTTTGTCATGTGTCATTACCCCCATTTCTTAAATAGTTTGCTTGAAATAAAACACAATACATTCTCTATTATTTGACCAGTTGTTTCAGCCCTACCTGTGACCGTTTCCTATCAGTAAATGGTGCAATTTTATGTGTTCTTTATTTGTCAAGTCATCCATTAGACACCACTGATAAGGATTTAGTCAAAACTTGTGAAAATGACCCGTCTCTGGGTTGTATTTTGACATTTTGGAAGTTACTAATCACCATAACGCTGCATTAATTTGGGCCCTTCACATTTGTCACTCATCCATCCAAGTGGAATAAATCAGATGCAACACTGACAGATGATGAAAAAAATTGAAATTATTTGTATATCTAGTGAGTATATGGTAAAACATCTCAAAAACTATACTTTAAGTGGAGTGTGAAGTCAAATGGAGGTGCAACTTGTCAACTGTTAGGTTAACCGCCAACAATTTTATTCATCATTAAGTGATTTGAGTACGTTTTTAAAGAAAAAAGCAGTCAACATTTTCTGATTCCAGTCTCTTAAATGTGAATATTTTCTGCTTTCTTTGCTTCTCTGTGACAGTAAACTGAATGTGTTGTGATTGTGGACAAAACAAGACTTTGGGGGATGTCATCTTGAGCTTTAATGAAGCAGTGGTTGACATTTTTCAGCATTTTCTAACATTGTTATCAAACAAACAACTAATCATTTCGTCAAGAAAATAATCAGCAAGTTGCTTCACAATAAAGGGAGGGAGATAAGATAGTAAGATAGTAATTAATTGCAGCCATAAAGTGACAAGAAGGTGATATACTAGAAGTTTATAACCCGTTTACTTCCTCTGTGAGGGACATATTTGGCTTTTAATTGTTTAATGTGCACATTTGCCCGGTTAAAACAATTAATCAATGTTAAACTAACAAAGATCAGACTTCTACACTATTTTTTTTGTGTAAAACCAAAACTACATTGTGACATTGCACCCTCCGCCCCCAGTGTCTGTGACACAGAGCTGGCTGCTGGGAATGTTGATAACTATTGAGCTGAGAGGTGGCATTCATACACCCTGCAAAGTTATGTCCATAACACACACACACATACACACACACACACAAAGATAAATGCATGGGGTGAGTCATAGTGCTGATCATGATGCTTTTCCTCTATTTCACAAACAGATAAAGTCAATACATGACCTTTCTACAATGAGGGCTGTGGGTGTAGGTGTGTGTGTTTGTGTCAATATACGTGTGTGTGTTATGTGAAGCGTTCAGAAAATCACAAATGAGACACAAAAAGGAGGGTTTTTGTCAACAGACAAGTTCTGTAAAACCCTTTTCGTTTTGCTGCTGAAGTGAAACCAGTGTCAGGCAATGGAGAAGAGCAACTTTGAAAGAAGTGTTTCAGAGTTAATGCGTCTACTTACACTGCTTCTGTTAACTTAGATGATAATCAATGACTGAAAGCTTAGTCAGACGTGCTTCTGTAAGCAAAGCTTCATGCTGACTGAGAACAGGAACGGGTTTATCTCCTTTTTTTCCCCACACATTCAGCAGCATATTATTCAGTTTTGGCTACTGAACATAATATCAATCAAAAGTAGATGTCCTTAAGAGTCACCTCTGTCATGGAAAAACAGCAATGACTCTTCTGACCTTTAAAAAACACAAAACGCTGACAGGCTGCGTGGCAGATTGATCCATTGCAGTCAGGAGATAAGCAGAACTTGTCCAGCATCTCTTTCTCAGAGAAGCCGGCTTATTTATGGGGCGCTGGTGAACACAGAACTCCTTTTCTATTGGCTCGTTTCGAAATGGTTTGACAAGTTTGACCTATGGAATTCTTCTTGACCATATCAGAAGCTCCAAGTCTGCATTCCATACGTTGACAAAGAAGCTTCTTCAGAATGGTCCCCTCATAAGGGCCTGAGGGCTCTATTTTTGACCCTACTTATGTAACACACAGGCACTCATGTGCTAAGATGGACATCGTGGTCTGCTTGGACTTTAGGATACATGAGCATTTAGTAAACAAATAATTTCTTTATTGCTGGGTTTTGTTTGAGTTTTCTATCACACTTAACTGTGAAAGATTACATGCTGGACACTGAAAATGAGCATGCCTGCAAATCTGTGTCATCTTCAATGAATAGATATTAAAAAAAGAGACATTTTTATTCAGTATATTGACACATTTCTATTTAAATTGTCACATTTCATTTCACCAAATGCTGCAAAAACCTCCACAATCACAGCTTGCTAGAATTGATACCATTATTCCTCCGTAAATTTGATCTCACGTTGTTTTTCCTTCAGTGTTTTTAGGGCCGGCGTGGTCCTACCCCATGGATTTTTTCTTGCTGCAGAAAACATGGTTAAGAATAACACAATCACGGAGGGTAAAAATGCAGCTTTACAAGAGAATTAGAGAAAAGAAGAAAGAAGGAGACAGTTCTGCTCTAACTGAAGGAGACATGCAGTGCAAGAGGAAAAACATTCCTCGAGAGTTTCTCGTTGGTTTCCCAGACAACTAGCCGTGGCACTCTGTAATTATGGCTGGATTACTACTCTGAGCACAGGGTTGCTTTGCTAAGCCAAGAATCATGGGGACAGTAGTGTGGACCCTTGAATATTGAAAATAAGGATTCGTCAATAAAATGAAATGTAGCGAGACAAACATTTAAGAAGGAAAGATGACGTAAAATCCAAACAAATGAAGACAAAAACAGCATCAGAGTGTGTGCACCTCTTACATCACTGGTTTTTAATTGGGTCACATCTCATATTCATGTTGCTATTTACTGTTTCACTGGACTATTTCTGCTAGTTTCTAAACCGTCGTGGAATAGCCTGCCTCCCTACCCATGTCGGATAATGATCTGCTGTGTTTTTTCTTAGTTTATGCAACATTTCTACTTTCTGAAGTTCATTTCTTGCACTAATTCAAAGTAAAATCAAGTAAAAACACAAAGCAGATTAATTTTGTTTTGCGTTTTTGCGTTTCTGATAAGTATGTCCTGCTTGCTTTGACTAGTTTTATCTTGTGAATGTTTGCCAAACTTGACCATTAGTCAAATTTTCTTTTAAATATTGACCCATATGCTGCTTAGTTGAATATTAACCGTCATTTCACAGTCATGTTAAAACAGTGTCCCATTTTAATTATTTAAGCTTCCTTATATTCCAGGGTTTCAGATATTTGTGGGTTTTTTTAGTGCAAAGTGAAAGCACAGCATGTTGTCGGTGTATATTGTGACATTTTGTGCAAACAGGCCTATTTACGATCGTAGAAGTTGCATCTTGTGAAATGGGCTGCAGACTTTATTTATTCAGGGCACTGCAATGAACAGTCCGAGCAGCTTGTTATGAGCTCATAAAACATGAGCTGTTTTAGTACACATGGCGTTGCACCAAATCCTGTTTTATGCCTCATTACTTTCAGAGAGGAAGGAGTACAGTATCGTCTGCAACCTGCGGTACGTCGAGACTTGCAGTCCTTCATCAGACGGTGATGAGTAAAGGGCTTTGGTTTTGATGGCGTTACTGTGAGGCCTTGACCTCGTCCAGCTATTGTAACCTTTTACTAGTCTTCATATGATGTTGCATATTTGTCACTGAGGATTTTTTACATTAGTTTCATTTCATATGCTAACTTGGTTATCATCCCCTCATTTGTTAAACTTGCTGATGTACTTCTCAACTTGTTCATTCCTATTGTCTTCTGCGGTGTAGCTTTTCCATCACGGCAGCACAAGGTCGTCACATATTTACATGAACAATGAATACATTGTGATTCGTCATTTGACAAAGGTTCATTGTTCGCGTGATGCTGTTTCCACTGAGAGGACAAACTTGACACACACACAGCATAGCCACATAGCGTACATTCAAACCTCACTCCAGCCTACCTAACTTACTCCCTGAAACCTGTCCAAGTTACATATACTCCTTGCTGCCATGGCAACAGCACCGGGAGACTGTCTCTCCTAGACCACAAGCGGGCTATTATGGGATGAGTGTCTCCCAAACAGACCAATTAGAGCGGTAATCAAAGGAGAGAATGGCAGACTGCTCCACACAAATCCATTCTTATTTCAACCACAAGGATGGCAGGAATGAAAGTCGCTGTGAGAGAATTCTAGACCGCTATTGTCTTTGTTTGGTTTTTTCTTTATTTGACTTTTTTTTTTGTCCATAAATACCTTTTTTTTTTGTTAGCCCTCAAGCTGGTACTTGGGAAATACTTTAAGTTTGCTGACTTTAATTAAACTGAGTCATGATAAACTGGCCTCTAACTTCACAAATGCACAGCTTAAGTTTGAGTTGTTTTTTTTGCCGTGCCATCAGACATTCTTTATGCTACACCCGTTTCCTCAGTTCAGGGTTTTATAGTTCAGTGGTGGCTTAGAAAGGCCCCATCGCCATCTGTGACTAGACTCAGTGTCCTCATGTCTTTCTCCTCATCTTCTGGCTCTCGTTATTAACAGCAACTCTGGAGCTACATGCCACGACTTTACTCCTTACAGCTCCTATGAAGACGCCACACTGATGTCTCACAGCTTTGATTGAGAAGATCCACTTTTTTAGTTCTGTACTGCTTCTGTGCTGGATTTCCCCCCTCCCCACATTGGACGCCACAAGACACAGTCAAGATATAGACATTTCTTTATATCCTCTTGCTGAAACCTTCTGTGCAGCATCAGAAAAAGGTCACACTTGCTCGCTCAGTGTCTTAAGTTGAAGGAACAGTGGGGAGTATTTACAGCTGAGTGGTAAACTACCGCCGGCTATTGGTGTCCCCTCCATGTATGTGATTGCTCAAATACACCCTCTGTAATCTCTGGTAACTGCGCTGACCTCGTACCTTGCACCCCTTTGGTTTCGGCTCTAAGTGTCTGCTTCGTTTTCCTGTTTGCGTTGAAGGGCAACCTTGGCACAGGCTACTGCTTTGTGGTCCTGTCCTTTTGGGGGGAATTGTTCAGATGAATTATCATTTTGGGGCTGGAGAGTTTCCATAGAAGGATTACAGAGCTGGGGAGTTTCCACCACTGTAGCAATAGTAGCTGTGGCTATTTTATTTTTACCAAGGAGATGACCATGCACATTTCTTAACGGCTTTCATCTGCAGCGATAACTAGTTCCATCCACATTCCAGAGCAAGGACTGCTGTGTGTTATTTAACTGGCCGCCATTCTAATAGATGTTTGGAGACCTTTTGCACCAACAGCAGCAAAATGTATTTACTGTGAGCATGGAAGGTTTTTTGATCGGGTGGAAACTGAAAGTCTTTCTTGCCGTACAAGCAGCTGCTCGTTAGAATTTTGTTGCACCAGTAGTTGTATGCTTAAATATGAATTTTGATATTTGTATTTGCAAAGTTGTGACACAAAGCTTTGCCATCCAAACCGGACTTCTAGTATAATGTAGCACGACTTGATTTGAGAGTGGCGATGCTTCCTAATATATCATTATGTAGTGAGGGATAAAACGTTCTAATAAATTCTGCCATCTCTGTCATAGCATTTATCCTTTCATACCTCTGGATGAATTAGACCAGGGGGGGCCCAATCCTGGTCCTCGAGAGCCCCTATCCGGCATGTTTTAGATGTTTCCCTCTTCCAACACACCTGATTGACATGATCAGGATTGTTATCAGGCTTCTGCAGAGCTTGATGATGAGCTGATCATTTGAATCAGGTGTGTTGGAACAGGGAAACATCTAAAACATGCTGGATAGGGGCTCTCGAGGACCAGGATTGGGCACCCCTGAATTAGGCCTTTGTTGACCATGAAGCAGTGCAATAAGCAGAACTGCGTTGTGGAAATTATTATTTATTTTAATCCTCGCAATTTTTGCATCAATTTGATGGGGCAACTTTATAAGTCAAATGTTGAATTTTATTATTAAAATAAAATTGCAATTAAAAAAATGTATATATTTATGCCAAAATCAGAAATTTGATTCCATATCACCCACTTCTTGTGACTGATGTAAGCAACAAAGGGACAACATAGTCCTATAATAAATCACTCACTAGGAATCAAAGTATATAGGCTTCCTCTCTGAGCCTGTAGCATCTTTTCCTGAGAGGTCGACATATAAGCCTTTTTTCACAGGAGATGTTTCGATGTGTCACAGCAACAAAAGCCTGGGCGTGTAAACAAGGAGTTAGTTTACCTGCTTCCCTTTCAGGCTGCTTGTATTGTGCATACTGGCTCACTGACACTGTCGTAGCTTACTGGGGCATTTGAATAGAGCAGAGCCGTTGTTAAAGCACCTCGTTGTCGCCGTGTGCATGTTCTGTGGGTGAGGTAGGCGGAAAAAAAGGTGGCTGTGCTGTATGTCAACAAAGGCAAGTCAAGCGAGGATATGTCTAAAATAGGCAAATAGTGGGGGCTTTATTTGCCCCTATATTAGCATAGTTTATTTGGATATCAAAAGAAAAAAATGGTTGTTAACATGTTTTTTTCACATTTAAATTGCCAGTGTGTCTAGATTTTGATGTTTAAAAATGGTATACCACCTTAGTACCCCTCCTCAGGAATATACATATGAAGAAGTTTTAGCTCCAATGCAAACTCAAGCCTATCGTTTAAGTAATGCATTTAGGCATTGAAGAATCTGTGGTCAGTTTAAAGTAACCCATCATATTTTTCATATTTTGGAAGTGTGTTTGTATTTTGGTGATTCTCAACAATCAAAATAGATGAGTAGTCTTTTTTTTTTTTTTTAACATTTTGCTGATTGACTCAACATGTGATGCAAGGAAAACTTTGTTCCTCTTTGTATGCATTAGCATAGTTGGCACCTCACCTCTCATTTACTCACAGTCTTATCTGCCTTGGCTGGTGACCTAATAATGCTTCTGCTATTGTCAGCAGATAGTTGGATTAGTCTGGACCACTCACCGCGCTGCATGGTCTCTACCAAGGAGGTGCATGTCACTGGATTAGCAATTCTCGGTCCCTCTCATCCTTTCTCTCTCGCTCATTGGGGCAACGGTCAAGCTTAGAAGTGTTGCACTTGCTTTGTCGCTGCTGATTGTACCGCTGCTCTCAGCCAGAATGTTCCCTACCTGCTTTCATTTGAAATGCGGATGGGAGGGTAGGACAACGGATCTCGTTGCAGGTTGAAGAGAATCAAAAAGGAGGACACGTTTCTGTTGGGGCGCAGTAAGAACTGATTGACGCAACGGCCACGGACGTCTCGAGTTCTTGATTAAATTCAGCTGAATTAGTAAATCGTGGCCGCTGTAGACATGCTTTTGCAAGGAAATACAACTGTACCTCTTTTGTGGAAATTGCGACAATTCCCTGTTGACTGTTCTGGCTATGGGAGTAGACGGTTCGCCATTAGGTTTTTGAAACGTTCTTGAGGACTTGAAGAGCAGATGTTGTTCTTGGCTAGTCTTGGACTGCGGTTAGAGCTTCCAGTTGGAAAGCGTCCAGGTTTGCTGCAACGTTGCTGACACAGTGGATTATGTTGAGGTTGTTTAAAAGACAATATGGACTTTATATGAACAGATTATGTTAAAATAGAATAACTATTATTTGGAAATTTCATCTGGATGAGTTATATTAGTTTAGTCCTGGAACCAATAACACAAAAAGTCTCAGCAATGCATTATGAGTGAATGAGCTGCAAACTCCACGTAAATTGTGTTTTGATATAGCTGACTGTGTTAAACATTACCCTCATGGCATCTGAGCCTTGCCCTCTGACTGGAGCAGAGAGAGCCATGTGTAGACTCGTCCACCGTGGACCCCGACCTCAAGCGATGCTCAGGCCTTTACACTTGGAGCTCCAGGTGTATGTGGACAAAACACGAAGCAAGCAAAAACACAGGTACAGCCAGAAAACTAAACACCAAATCTGTGTTGAGAAATTCTGACCAGAAGATCATGTTAGCAATGCGAGTTACTAATAATTATTGTAATTGTGGTTGCGCTAAATAGCAACAAATCCGGTTAAAATGCTAAGTTTTTGGACAGCAGCAAGACTGGTGCATTGGCAAATGTGCTGCACAATATAAAAATCCTCTTTTTTGCTCCATCTTTTGAACTGAGCCTTTTTTAAAACAGATTAGACTCGAGGATAATCCTTGCTTAACTCTAAATTCTAGTACTTTATCTGGAATTTAGAGCTACAACCAAATTGGCTGGTCTTTAGTTGATCCTGGATTATACAATGAATCTGGGATGTATACTTTCTGGACACCACTCACTGATGAGACCCTGTTGTGCTTCTGGTGACTGCAGTCTTTGAGTACACGATTGTTTTTAAAGGATCTAAACAATTGTGTAGTTTTGGCTGCATTCATCAGCACAGGTACATTGTTGTTTCATCCATCTCATAATACCTGGGTTCTAATGTAGACACCTCTCATCATGTAGTCATGTAAAGAAGACTGTTGCTTAAATTAGAAAAAAAGATTGCCATCAAATAGAGTTTGATTGACAGATCTAGCAGTTGCCATGGTAATCAAGGCATTGTAGAGGTGGTGGGAAGTTTCCTCTTGACTTGCTTTCGATAATTATTTCTGAAATATGTGGCTCTATCATAATTTCGTCTTAGCAGCATAGATAGGTCCTCTTAAATCACTGCACATACCAGAAACCAGACTCGAAAAACCAAGTTGAGACAAGAAGTAATGTGTAAATAAAGTGCGATACCTTTTCAAGGTGCTCATCTCGGAGCTTAGACTCAGTTGCTAAGGCAACAGTCCACAGAAATGGCTACAGACCTTGTTGTCATGGTGATATGTCCAATTTGTTCCTCACTGTGAGATGATGTTGCATTGCCACTGTAATCGTATCCACATTACTGTACAGTGTTATCTCTGATAGCGAACATACCAACATATTCGTACTGTTTCCTGACTTTTCCTTGCTCGCATGTGTTCACCCTTCAGGATGGAGGCCTCCTGCTTGGAGCTGGCCTTGGAAGGAGAGCGACTGTGCAAGGCCGGGGACTTCAAAGGGGGGACAGCGTTTTTCGAAGCAGCCGTGCAGGTCGGCACAGAAGACCTGAAGACACTCAGTGCCATCTACAGCCAGCTGGGCAATGCCTACTTCTACCTCAAGGAGTACGGAAAAGCCCTGGAATACCACAAGCACGACCTTACCTTGGCCAGGTGAGCACTGTACCTTGCAAATGTCTTTAACTTCTGGTTTCAGCTGTCAAAAAATGTGAAAAAAATCTATTCGTGATGCAGAACACAACTGCTGTGATTTTGATAAATGTTTGCATTTTCATATTAGGGGAGTTTTAAGTTGATCAATAGCCATGTTGATGAACCAGATGGACTGTGTATTCCCACTTATAATCTATAAGAGACGTATTTTTTATCCCCAGTTTTCATTCGGTTTAATTGTGAACAGTGCACATCGAAAATATAGTTGCTGTTTTAAATGTTTTTGGGACTCTATCATAGCAAATGAAGCTGTAATTTAGAACAAATGTTGCAGAAATTCTGCTCCGGCCATCTGTGCAGCCTGATCAAGTGTAATTCTGTCTAATACAGACAGCTTTGAAGAAGGATAATAATTAATCATGTCACTGCAGTCATCTTATTTTCTGTAAAAGGAGCTCCAGTCAGTGCAGAGCTATTTGCCAGTATGTAGGTATGGTGTGGTTCACAAAGAGAGAGTCAGCATTCAGGATACCATCTCCAGCTGATTTTATTTCCTCTGCTGGATGAATACACGGCATCGGAAACTGTAATTTGTTGAGCTAGACAAAAGAAAATTCCAAAAGAAAAGTGAGGGGGAATTTTACAGTATGTAGCAACAGTCGACAAGTACCAGCAGGACGTTTAGCTCGTGAGTAATCTGTCCTCCTGCAGTGAGTGCAGCTGGTACTTCAGCAGGGAAGTGATTAAAGACCCCAGGGAGATTTACCTTGTTACATTACAGTCTCACCAGGGCCACTGGGACCTGGTCCTAGGAAGCAAGCAACTAGAAATGAAAAACGCTCTGTGCAGGATTTTCCCCTTTAAATCTCGCCGCGGTGCCTTAATGGTTATTAACTAAATGATTAAATCAGGATAATTGTGGATGTCTCCCGCACCACTAAATGCAAAACATGTGCCTGCTTTCTCAGAACAATAGGAGACAGAATCGGAGAAGGGAAAGCCAGCGGTAACCTTGGTAACACGTTAAAAGTGCTGGGGCGCTTCGACGAGGCTGTTGTCTGCTGCCAAAGACATCTGGATATTTCTCAAGAGCAGGGTGACAAGGTAATGTGTCACACTAAATACAGACCTTTCGACGTCCAAACAAACTAACACACAAATACACAACCCCTCTGGAAAAAAAAAAAGATTAATAATGAGCAAGACAACCTTAACATCCATATGTATAATGTTTGCCCTTTTTTAGCTTCTCTGTGCTGTTTTGTTGCAGGTTGGAGAGGCCAGAGCGCTGTATAACATTGGGAACGTATTTCACGCAAAGGGCAAGCAGCAGCTGTGGGGCTGCACCCAGGAACCAGGGGACCTGCCTCCTGATGTCAGAGACACACTGCAAAGGGCTACTGGCTTTTATGAGTAAGTATTGCTCACAGAGGACAGAACACACGTGCACACTAGAACACATTAAGGTCACGCTGGCAGCTTCGACGGGTGAATGTTGCTGCGTGTTGTTGCATCAAAGTGGATTTAATGAAAATTTAATAACAGAAAGCTTTATTTATTATCACTTTTAGGATATTTTGCTTTGTCAAAAAACACATACAGCACAGAAATCTTTTTTTTTTTCTCATTTTTCTAGTATTTTTATGTGCATACTTGTTGACTGATTTGAAAAAAAGGCTAACCTGAAACAGATTTTCACTCATAAATCTTGAACACTCTTATATACAATAATATTTACTTGGATATGAATTCCACTCCCTGATGATTGAAATCAAAACCCACAACCCACTCTCACTGTCTTTACAACTGTGGTGCAGTCTGAATCAATACGTTCTACGTATCAATTTTCAACAGTCTTACTTATTGTTGCTACCACAGATTTCGATTTATTTTTATTACGCTACAGAACCATTTACCCTCTACTCTCTGTATTTTCTCTGCCTTCTGTTAAACTCCAGGCTCACATTTACTTCAGATCAGTCTGCCTTATAACCCAGTTTTGCGACACACTAAATAACACGCTTTTATTGTGACAGAGCGTTTCCTAAAAGCTAAGGGGTAGACTAAATGACATTTAAAGGAAACTCGATGCATTTAAAAAATAATAATAGTAATAATTTGAAGGTCACCTGCAAACTGTAGACATCAGAAACAAAGATATCAGAAAATATGAGCAACAAGAATATTAAGCCAGAAAAGGGTAGACTAGAAAGAGACAACTGTGTGTAACTTGAAGCAGGGCGGTGCATGCCCATTTGTTGTTGCCTGGTTAAATACAACATGATAATCCCATAATAACTCATATCCCAGGGTAATTGTCTGGGCCCCTTCACAGCCAATTATTTTGTACCAGAAACTACCATCAGGAGGAAAAACAAACAAAGGTGATACAATAAATGTGTTGTAAATATTTAACTCTGTCATGTGGACACTACAGTAATCCTGGATTGTTTTACACCAATATTAAAATATTCTGAAATCATATTTAGTGATCAGAATATCTAATGTCCTGCCTACTGGATGGACAAAGAAAAAGAATAAAACTATGAACGCACTAATATCCTACTTTACTGTTGCCTAACTGCTACTAAATGTGTGCACTTGCCTCTGCAGGATGAACCTGTGTTTGGTCAAAGAGCTTGGTGACCGAGCAGCTCAGGGGAGGGCCTACGGGAACCTGGGCAACACCCACTACCTGCTGGGTAACTTTGTTGAAGCTATCAAGTTCCACCGTCAGGTGAGAAATCCAAAAGCATATTCACACGAGTGTTTTGCAGAGACATGAGTTATCGGCCTTGTCATTGTGCCAGGACAGAGTGGCGACCTTACATGAGCAGAGTGGCAGCCCAACTTTGCACGTGACACAAGGTCATTCACTTCGTAGCGGACTTTGTGGCCGGCCACAATGTTATCTGCACCAGGCTGTGCAGAAAATGCCCGTGATTTAAATAGAACTGCAATTAAAGTGAAGTCAAAAACTGTATGCATTGCCTTCATTTTGTTTCACAATGCTATGTGCAGTACATAAACCCAAACACTTCAGTTTTCAGATATGTTTAGTTTGTCGTTTTCAGGACCATTAACACAGGCATTTGAATATGGTTTCAGGGTGTTTTGGTGGTTTGTGCACATGCTGCGTGCACACAGTGTCCTAGCCAGGGATATTTGAGTGTCCTCCCTGCAGCCACAGTGCAAAATGATAAATTCACAGCAGGCTGTTCTTGTGTTCAGCCTCTTTTGTGCAGTTGTATCATATGCAGCCCAGAAGCAACCAAATGATTACCACAAAATTTGGCTTACTGTCGAGTTGCGTTCAAACGTGTTTGCATGACTTGAGCTTTTAGCTTTTAGGTGCAGCCAGACTAGACTTCATAATTGTATTCACTGAGGAAGCAGGCCATGTGCATTTGCGTCTTGCTGAGGACAGATCTTACCTCGTTTGCCTTGCACAGATGTCCGTCTGGCTAAAATTTTACATGCAAAACAACAAGACTTGCCAATGTCAGTTTGAGGGTAGTCTCACACAGCCAGGCCTGAGAGGGAGGAAGAACTAGTCTCTCATCTAAACAGTTTTTGCTTCTCTCATTTTACTAATTCCATTTTTACAGAGTTACCATCTTATTTAAAGCCAACAGCAGAAGAGATAGGATTGCATGGGTGACAATGAATGAGGACAAAAATAGAAAAAAAAGGGTAAAAAATAGTGTTTGATCACAGTGTGTGGTATAAGTAGTCATAACAGTTTTTTTTCCCAAATAGATTTCAGCTGGGTATGTTTTTCAGTGTATTGCAGCCTATCTCATGCTGTACCACCACACCGAGATTGATGTCTACTCGTAAAAAAAGAGGAGGGAATTGGTTTCTTGGTGAATTACTGGAAAGTACGGCTTCAGGCTCTCCCTCCCCATGTTTCCTGTCACTCTCCATTGTAAAACACTTGTTTCCTCTCATGAGAAACTGGCCTCTCCTCTATTCTCTATTACAAATCTATCAGTGTGCCACAGAGGGGAGCTCACTGCCTCTAAAGGGAACCAGCAGAGGTGATTTGATGCACCAGCTCTGCAGCAGCACCTCTGGTCATGAAATAATGGGCCCAACAGAGCTTGCAACTTGAACCCGTGTAACTGCCTCTGCTTACACGCTGTCAAGCAAAGCAAAATGAATTAGTAACACATAGCCACTAAAATTAAGAAGCAAAATGAAAGTGTTATCCTGATGTAGTTTGACCTTTGCTGCTCTGTTTACAGCGGTTATCCATTGCCAAAGAATTTGGGGACAAAGCTGCTGAACGGCGAGCCTACAGTAACCTGGGAAATGCCCTGATATTCCTGGGACAGTTCAACACTGCCACCGAGTACTACAGGTGAGGAAAAAGTGAAGTCTGACATCTAGTGGAGAGAAGGCGAAATTAACCAAATTTGACTTGAAGTATAAAATCAATTTAAAAAATATGAGTCTGATGAATGTCAGAAGCTCTTAAAGTTTTTATTTTACGAGTTGAGAATTTTATTTGTCCCCCTGTTTGTCTTCCTCTAGGAAAACTCTGCAACTGTCCAGGCAACTTAGAGACCAGGTGATGGAGGCTCAGGCCTGTTACAGTCTGGGAAACACCTACACGCTTTTGCAACAGTATGAGAGGGCCATAGACTACCACCTGAAACACCTGTACATCGCCCAGGAGCTCACTGATAGGTACAGCGAGCACAAATGATATCAAATGCATGAGCGCAGGAATAGTTGCTGACATTTGTGTGTATGTTCATTCCTCCATAGGGTTGGTGAGGGTCGTGCCTGCTGGAGTCTCGGAAATGCGTACGTGTCATTAGGGAACCACAAACAAGCCCTCCACTATGCCCGGAAACACCTGGACATCTCGAAAGAAGTGAGACATTATTACATGTGCTATTTTTAAAAAATGGATTATGAATATTTTGTTCATTTAAAAAAACTCTGTGTAACGTCAGATTTCTTCTACATATGTGCTGCAAGAAATCTGTGCAGTATCATTGCTTTTTAGATATACAGTCGTGACTCGATAATCCGACCCTTAACAATCCAAAAACCTTGCTGTCCCACAGGTTTTTAGGAAAAACAAATGGAACCCGTTAAAAATAGCTTTAACATACTGACAGCCTTGGATTTGCACTCTGCGAGCGTGCTCAGTATTTGTGGAAGTAAACAGTAAACAGTGGCACGTAACTGCCACTCCTCCGCCGCTGCCACAGATGGTGAAAACAGAACTGTGACCGCTAACTAAACTGGCACCAGCAGCCAAGTACTGCCTGTGTGTTCCGGCCACTTCCACCCCGTCGGAGTGCCCCCCTGACCGCGCCGAATATTCGGATATTCATCATTAATTGGGCCCAAATATCTGGAGCCCAGAAAGTGCTATTCGGACCAGCCCTACTAGTTATTAGAACAACTATAAACACGAAATATTAACAACAAACTACCCTTCAAGCAGTGGCGGCTGGTCAATACAGGGTGTAGTTCTCAAACACAATATTAAATTTGAATTAATTTAACAAAATAATAATAAAATTAGTAATAACGTTCATATTCTTTTGCTATATTAACAATATTTGTATTATTAACAGATTTAATATTAGTCTTTACTGCGTGTTTACTAATTCTACACTTCCTGGATGCGGGGCGCAGCCACATGAGTGTGTATGTAGCTCGAAAAACTTTTCCTGATCATGTGACCTCAGCCCGGGCTCTGATTGGCAGCTGCAGACTTTCTCACAGGGCGCAGCTCGGTGTGTCCTGGACCTGTCCACTTTTGCTGTAAGCCAATTAATTTGTCTTGACGTTCTTATGATTGCACTTTCTGATGCCATCACGCAGCCTGTCCCGTTGCTCTTGTACTAGATGACAGCTACTGTCGTGACAGCTTAATGCATCGGCCTGCTGTCAGTGGAGAAAAGACTGGTCACAGAGATGAGTGACTTCAACCAAAAAGTAACAGAGAAGTTTGCTGAGCAGAAAGAGAGAAGAGCCAGTTTTTTGTTCAAATAGCTCCAGACTGCATTTGCGACCTTTATTTTGAGAGTGTGTGAATTGATGAGCATGATGATCATGAAACTGTATTAGTGTCGCTGTAACCAGCACAGGAAGCTGCTGTGTGGTCCACAGTGGTGGAAAGTGGAACTTTTATAACTTTGGTGTACTGCAGTTTTTACGCTTAAAAATGAGGTCTTCTTGTGAATAACGTGAGCATTTTTCTGCTCATAGAAAAGACCGCGTGTAGAATACATGTAACTTGGTTTCATCTTGGACAAATGTGACATGAGAACGCCCTAGTTTATTATTTTTAGTCATTTTTGGTCACACACCTGTCAGAGCACCACAGCCACCAAACAGCTGCTACCGCAGCCTGCAATGTGGGGCGTTCAGGGAGCATCAGTGAATCGTAGTGTCTATCGATAATAAAATGTTCAGCAAGTCATGTGTTCTGCCTTTGACCAGGTGGGAGGTGCAACAAAATGAGAAAGTGGGTCGTACTGGTGTTACTAGTGAAAAAGTTAGTCTGGAGCCCTGAATAGTGTTTTTTTCATTATTTATGTGTTTTGAGTTTGTACAGATCCTGTAAATATTGATGAAAATTTGATGAATGGTTTCGAAATTTAGTTCTGTTAAGTCCTGAAAATGTTAAATTAGATTATGATTAGGATATCCTCCAAAGGTAGACAATTTACATTCCTGTAAATAGCTGTACCTGATGTTGCTCATATTCTAATTTCTGATTGTAAATAAAAGGTCATTTGCAGACTGCACCCCCCCCACCAAACATTTTCACCAGCCGCCACTGCCTTCAAGCATCAAGCCCGCCTTGCATCTCGACCTCCGCCTTGACAATCCGACAGCCTTGCTATCCGACATAAAAGAAGGTTTTACATTTAGTGTCGGATTATCGAGTCACGACTGTATTGTCATTTTCAACATCTATTTAATATCTGAATGCCCATATATGGGAGAATCTTGTTCATTTTTATTTTCTACTGATGTTCCTTACACATTTGCACTGTCCCCTTTGCAACTGTAACACTGCAACCTTCCCCGATGCATCTTTAATGGGGTTAAGGCCTCTTGCATTTGACTTAATTCGTTTGTCTCTTTATCCCTGCCTGTTTGTTCCGTCCTCAGATTGGAGACAGAAATGGGGAACTGACAGCCAGAATGAATGTGGAGCAGCTGATGGAGGCCCTGGGGGTCAACGAGAGCGACCTCTCGCCTTCCAGTTCAGAGTTTGAGATGCAAGGTAACGCTAAAAGTTATTTTCACCTTTTTATATGAAATTTACTGTGGCAATGGGTGAGTGTTATAGCAGCTTTCCTTCGATTTATGGTGCTGTATGTTACATATGCACACTGTGTGATCAATGTTCGACATGTAGAAACAATGGAAACTGCCGACTGTCACTATTTCTGTAAAATGGCTTTTGATTCATTGTTCAGTCTGTTTATTGTTCTCACTTGTTTAAATAATGACGTAGACAGTGTAGTTGATGTTATCAGTCTAAATGTAACATAGCTGGGGCTTACCCAAAAGCATTTACTTGTCAGCCATGTTGGTTATCATTTGAAAACCTTGCGAACATTTAACCTGGGAAACACGTTTACTCAGTGTATAAGTACAATGCCACAACTCTTGGGTGCGAAAGGTCTAGACCTCTTCAAGAGGGTTTCTGAAAAGACATTTATGTTTGCATATTTAAATGCACGCGCACATTTAGGTTTGCCAAAATAATCAAAGACAAAAGAGAAACCAAAGATGTCCTCGTTGACTGTGGAGTGAAATGTTGACTTTAGTTCATTCAGGTCACGCTCTTCTCCACCAGAGCGGTTATATAACTGTGTTTCTGAAAAGCTACGTGAGCAAGTCCCTCAGTTTCCTTAATCACGGAATGGGAAAGGGTGTGGCAGATAAAAAAGCCCAACTCTGTGTATGCTGGTGTGTGTTTGTGTGTGTGTGTCTGAATGTGTATTTAAAACAGGGACCTGTTAGTTTGGCGTCTTCAGACTGTGGTCTTGGAGCTGTACTTGCTTTTCCCATCACATAGAAATAGGAACAGACAATAATAATCACAGAGCTCTGGGATAATGCCGGAGTCAAGTAGAAACTTTGCTTAGTGGGATACTAAATGGGCTTTAAGCAATAACTTCAAAACTACTCAAATCAAATCTTTTTTTAAAATGTTTTTCGATTCTGCTCTTTTACCTTCGACAAAAATAACATGTGGGCTTAAGCAAGCTAACTAGAATACTGTGTGAGTACACAAAGTGGCCATCTTAAATGTAAAACTAACTTCAGGTGAGACAGTGTGTGTGTTATGTCTGAACGGAGGCTAAATGTGACAGAAAGCAAAGGGGCGTGTGTATGTTTTTGGGGGCAGTATAAAGATCCTTGTTTTGCAGGAGCATGGGTTGTTTCCAGAAATATGCTCAGATAATAAAACTAATTGTTCCTGTATATGCCCCTCAAATAGCCCAACAGCTCACATTTGAGTCTTATATAATAAAGCATTGAGAAACTGCAAAATCCATACAATCTCCTTTGCCTTTGTGTGATGTTTGCTTTCCTAAACTCTCCTCTGGGCAGAAACTCACACCCATGTCCTACATTTCCCTCCTCGGAGCAGAGCTGGCAAACAGACTCTTATTCAGTTTGTTTGCCTGGTTGTCTGTGTAAACCTCATATCCACATCGAACATCACGGGACCACTACTGACATCACAGGCTTCTCCCCTCAAAAAAAAAAAAAAATGAAGATAAACAAGGGGCAACTTGCAAGCGTAAACCTGCTCATGAAATCGTTTTGAAAGTAGTGAAATATCTTATTTTTAAATGCTGTGTTTATTTACATGAGTTTTTTTTTTCCCCTGTAGGAGCAAGACCCAAATTCACCAAGAGAAACAGCATGGACAGCGTAGAGCTGTGGAAGTACTCCTCAGATAAGGTGATTTCTCTCACCTCACATGTCAGTACACTGTAGAAGGGAATGAAAAAGTGATCAATCCCTCTCTAACGGTATGTTCTGTTACTGCAGAATGGTGAGAACCAAGACTTGGAGAGCATACCCAGGAGATCCAAGAGTCAGCTGTCACAGCCCGGTAAGAGAAAAGGCTACTCTGACAGTCAGTCGTCAGATGAAAGGCCGTGGTTGGACTCTCCCGTCGACACCGATGACATCACTGTGCAAGTCCCGCCTCCAGTGCCAGTGAGTCGCTGTAGCTTTACGGTTTTATTAACTCTGACACAGGTATATGCCTTATATCCACATTGCTGCATTTCGAACACAGTCATAAGCAACTATCTCAGTTCAAACACAACTTGGATTGATAAAACCATAAGCAAAAACATCAGAAAATCTAACCTTTGCCTCTGTTTCTTTGTATATTTTGCTTACAATACAAAAAAAAGTGCTTTTAACTGCTCAACCTCCAAATTGAATTTCACACCACAGAGTGTTTAACAGCCAATATTTAGTTCACACACCATGTATCTCAAATATACCACTGAGAACCCAACAGAGAAAACATGGAGTTTGTTTTTCTCATGGAAAGCATCAAGCAGATCCTGTTTCACCTGATTTATCAACCGTTTTCCAGTCCTCTTCTTCTGAGCTTTCTGCTGTAAAGACAAAAATGACGTCAACTTTTGAGCTGTTCTCGGCTACATGATATAAAACGTCATCTACAGTGTTAAACTAGGGGAGTTGTGGCTCAGCTGTTAAGCCTTTGGCTTGCTGATCTGAAGGTTAGGGGTTCGTGCCCCAGCACTGCCACTCTGCCGCTGTTAGACCCTCGAGCAAGGCTCCAAACTGTATCTGCTGCCGGGGCGCTGTAGTGTGGCTGACCCTGTGCTCTGACCTCAGCCTACTAACAAGCTGGGATGTGCGACACGGCAAAATTTGCCCTTTGTGGGATCAAAAAAAAAAAAGGGTATATAAATAAACAAATGTCATTCTCATTAAATGTCAACAGTGCTCAGTTTGAACTAGATTTTTAAATATTTGGTGTTTCACAGCTGCTGTATCCCTAAAAATCTGTGTCCTCACAGCACCTAATCATGCCTTGTTTCTGTGACGATGCTAATTACTGTAACCAGTAAGCCAGCATGCTGGAAACGAGTAATAATTACTGGTAATAATTACTGGGCTGCATGATGATAGTTCATCACAAGGGAGCACATGGAGGAAGTAAATGCTGATCTGGTGACACTGAAGAATGCTCGTTTTCAGATGTGACAGTCTTTTAGGGACAGCTCAGGCAGCTTCCTCGTAAATCTAGAAAATAAGAGACAAGTCCCTTTGAAATTGTGACGTCAGGAAGATGTACGACCAATTATAAGATAAATAGAAACCATCAAAAAGTTTAATTTCATCTGCTTTAACTTAGTTTCTTCATTATATTGTTTTATGTGAATTGAAGTAGCCCATGACATTAGCACTGAATGAACTGTTTTTGGGCTGTAATGACGTACAGTATTGTTGACAAGATGGTTCCAACACGAGGCACACTTGTTCTTTTGACTGAATGAACAATTGTTTTTCACTAAATTTTTGGAGTGAAATTTGAATTTAATGCTTCATTCTTGATATTAAACAGCTAATAAACCCAAATCAAGGTCCATTTAACGGTTTGTTTCATAGCTTGTGACCCTGCATATGTGAAAATTAGTGTATTTTTCACTTTCACTGCATTTTCCCGTCTTGGTTGCTGTTGCTTGGTTACTTGAAATTCTTAGTAATTTTTTTTGAAACAATGGCTCCAGTATTTTAGTCAGAATGCTGCTGACAAGCAGCTTTGTTTACCAGCTGTAGCTAGTAGGCTGATTACAACAAACTTTAGAGTTTAAATTGCTGCCTCTAGCTGACTTTCTCACTTCTCTCCGTTGGACTCTTTTAAAAAAATAAAATTAAAAAACTGAACTGTGCTAAGGTTCAGTTAGATATTAAGCTAAAAGACTGAAGCTCGGGCTGCCACTATGGCTCAACTGGTTAAGCTGGTGACCCATGTACTGGGGCTTTAGTCCCCGACACAGTGGTCGTGGGTTCGAATCCAGCCCATGGCCATTTGCTGCAGGTCCTGTTCTTCTCCCCACTTTCCTCTCTCTCGTTCTACTGTCCTTTAAAAAAAAAACTGAAGCTCATGCCTTGAGTCTCACCAGCATCCTCATCATATGATGATCCATGTAGAAGATATGAAAATAAACAAACAGCATTGTTCTTGTATTTCAATGTGATTACTTTTCATTTTGTAAGTATGGGAGAAGGAGGGTGATCATAGACAGAGGATTATCAGATAGCCAGTTTGTAATTGAGTCTACATTAAGACCTGATTTCCACATGTATGAACATCACATTTTGTTTTTTTTTTACCACAGTAGTTAATTTTTAAATTTTTAAAAATTATTTTATTATTGTTGTTTATTTTTATAAAATATATTTTATTTCTTTATATATTTTCTAATTGATTAAAGAAATTAAAAATGCATATCAAACAAGAGCTCAGGTCATAAGAGGTTAGATAGTAATTTTCATTTTAGGTTGTTTAATTTCTTTTTTTAAATTTCATTATAACTTCTTCATCTCCAACTAATACATCAAATGTCAAACTTAAGAGGTGCCAAAGCACAGCAGTGATTTCACTTTTCACGCGTTTCTCCCACTCCGTCTCTTCCACACGCACACAACTTAGTTTCTGTGCTCCTCTCACTCTCTTCCTCCCTCTTTTCGTTCTCTCCCATCACCATGACGTGCTTCTCTCTCTCTCATGTTCTGTCTCTTTGGCCTACTTGATTAATTGGACAATGCAGGGAGGGAAGTGACGAGATCCACACAGACACCACGCTTGAGGCCAAGGACACAGGACAGAAACTTTTATAAGTCACACTGAAATAATGTGCCAAGAGCAAGAAAAAGAGAAAAATAAAAAAAACCAACAATCACATGAAAGATTTTTTTTTAAAGTGTAAAAATCCTCTAGTAGGAATGGTGTCGTTTAGATCCACGTCGTGTGAGATTTGAAGAACTAATTGGCGACATACGGGGCTCTTGTCATCTGAGGGGTAGTGGATCTCCGCTGGCAGCGGCTGTTAGCATGCAATTTACTCATAACTTTCTATCTCCCCCTCCTCCCCTTTGTCCACCACAGCTCTCCCTCCTAGCTGATAATGTGACCTTGATCACAGAACCGCTACCCTCCCCACTGGGTCAAACTCCCCCCCCCAGCTTCCCATAATGAGTTGTTTTCCCACAGTGGGTGAACAGGACAAAAATGGCCCGCCGGAGAGCTGTAGAGAGAGAGAGAGAGGGAGTGTGGCAGAAAGAGAAAAAGAGGAGGAGGAGGAGGCAGTGGATGGTAGAGATTAAAAGGAGGCTGGAATAGAGGGAAATTAGAGGGAGGTAGTCGTGTACAGCGGGAGAGCAGAGAGAGAGAGAGATGTAAAGTGGTGGGTGAAAACAGGGGAGAAGGAGGTGTGATCCAGGCGTGTGGACAGAGCGAGAGAGAGAGCTCAGGAAAAAAAAACAGAGAGAGAGAGTAGGGTAGATAGAGGACAAAGAAGTCGCTGGTAAGATGTTTCACTTATGTTTCACAGCTTAAATAACAACACTGTGCGAAGGTTAGTCGCTTTCTTTTCTTATATGTAGGTTTGAATGTGTTTGTTTTACTGCCCGTTGACATGTTTAACTCTGTTTTTCAGCGAGCAGATGCAGTAAAAAAAAAAAAAAGTACAGTTTTTATGACACACAGTAAAACTTGTGTTTCGTTTGAACAGTAGTTTCATTGTCCAATACAAAAAAGCTGAAAACTTGAAAACAAAAGATTAATAGAAAGGAGCTGACTGAAATTGGTGTCTGCTGACCTACTTCACATCGAGCTGTAAGTTATTTTAACTTTATCCGCTAGTCGGTGTGAACAGTGTCATATCTGACTCCGGCTTCGCGGAATTGTTTTAACGGTAAATACTGAGATTCGTTGAAGTGAAGGTTACAGAGAGAAAAAGTTTTCTAAGAGGGAACGCAATCAGGCTGTTTGATCTCTGTGGCTTCATGTGACCTTGTCTTCTGGTAGCTCGCCTTCGGACTTTTGTTGTTGTTTTTAGGATGTGGTTTTTAATTTTTTATACTCCACAAAGGACTTTTATTGACATATTACACTTATTGTACATTTTGCATTTGATATTATTGTTTATTTTTATCTATCTATCTATCTATCTATCTATCTATCTATCTATCTATCTATCTATCTATTAAAACGTAAAAATAGATAAAGTACAGGTAGTGAAATCTGTCAAAATGACAAATTCTTGCACATTTTTCAAATTATATGTCTTGTATTTTCTTGTATCTTCTA